CACAGGGCGATGTTTTCGTCGCGCTGTGATGACGTCAAATGCGCGCTTTCGTCGACCGCGATTTTGTGGTGGAACCGGGGGACTTCACTCCCAGAATACTCAAGTAGAGCATCTTACAGAAAAACAAATGGGAAAGAACAAAGACACAAGTCATCTAGAAGGGTAAGCATACCTTTCACCTCTACATTAAAGCAATGAGGATAGAAGCTGCTTTAGCAAAAATGCCTCCGTCTATGTCCCCTATAAAGAAGCAGATTGCACAGAATCTCTGCTGAATGGTGAAAACTGAACCTGCTGTATCTCTGCTCAATTCATGTGGATTCTGAAATTGCTAGAATTGAGAGGACTATAGACCAGACACACTGAAGGACTCCACATTCTGATCTTTCGATACCATTCTCCTGATTTACTCCCTCAGTCTCTGCTACACAGTCTTACCCCAGTCTTCTTCATCACTACCCTACTTGATTTTTAAAAAACACATGGGTGATAGTTCATTCCAGACAGTGAAACTGCAAGTTTCTTCACTTCATAAGGAGAGCCTATATTGGGTACTATATGAAAAATTCATGAACCATATCTGAATGTTTTTTTTTTGGGGGGGGGGAGAAATTAATTTCTCTTTTGGAGTCCCCATTCTTCTTCAACCCTTCTCAGTTGGTCTGCTACTCACAATACTCCTCTGGCTGAACATACAGATGCTATGCTATTACAACCTTTCCTAGCATGGCATTTTGGAGAAACTTGTAGTGCTTGTATCTCAAATCATAGACCAACATTTTGATGGCAATGTGGTCTTGCCAAAAAACCAATTACTTCTCTTCTGTTTCCTTAATTTCTCTCCATTTGCCTTCTCTCTCTCCCACCATCTTTTATCTTTCCTTTTTTCACCATTTTTTTGAATGGACTGATTAATTTTTCCCAAGAGTATTTATATGTTTAAATCTGAACCAGTTAATTGGTTTTGTCCCTTTGGCATTATGTGTTCATTTTAATTGATTGATATTAAAGCACTTTGAGAATCATGAAAACTTGAAAACAGCTAAACGTTTTACAAAAAAACGCGCAACTGGATCCATTTTCCTTAGTCCTCCTTTGACAAATTGGGGCATTTACAGAAGATGAAGCATATATATACAAAGAAGAAATTGCTGCTCTCCTCAGTTGTGTTGCTGTTGTTGTTGTCTTCGTCCTCCTTGTCCCCCTCAAAAAGTAGTGAGATCTATCGCACTGATGTACCCGTCCAAACAGCCAAGCCAAGTGGTGAAGTGTAGGCTCTGGCCAAACCCTGCAGGCCAAGAATCAAATAGCTGCATCCTTTCTGCAACACTTTGCCCACATTCTGAAAGTAGTAAAAGAATATTATTAGCATGAGGAAACAATTCACCTCCAAAAAACTCTAGTTTAACAAATATTTCTACAGCCCAAAGATTCCAGTTCTGCTCAGTCAGCACAATTCTCTCAGATTCTTAGAATGTCCAGTGGTTGGGGAGAGCAGGGTTGGATAGACACTTACCCAAGTAGTTCATTGAGTCAACTTGATTCAATCATTGTCTTTTAGGCCAATATATCTAACATCAGGATAAAATTGGGGTTATAGCTTGAACTGTTTTCATGCTGGTTTGTTCCAAATGGGACTTTAAATGCCTGAGCCATTGTTCATTATTCTCATGAAGTGTTGTTATGCATTTCATTTAAAGAAAAATCTTAAATATTTTTCTTTTTCTTCCATGCCTTCTTTTCAACTCAAATGGTTTCAGAGCAAATTACCAATAAATCAACAAAATCATAAAAAGGGTAAAGAAAGACAGATTTAAAAAAATCATAGAGGAACAAATGTCAATTTCCATCCAATTCCATCGGATTTTCTCCCAGAAAATTTCAATGCAAAACAAAAACAAAAACACAGGCATGATGTTCCTGGGCTAAATCTCATCAGTGAATATTGTAGTGTTTTGCATTTTGAAATGGTTTTGAAAAGCTATGGATTTTATCACAACCAATAGCAGCCACAGGATCCTGGTGCTTTTGTCAGAATGATAAAATACTGTTACATTGCAAGCTCCAGTCATGCGTGCAATATTGTGACACATGTGGAAAAGTGGTGAGGCTTGCTGTGATGCTTTCATTAGTCTGACTCTTGTTTTGCCTCCCCTAACCCCATTGATCCGAACAGTAGCTGGAAGGGGGGAAAGCAGCAATACAAACTTGTTTTAATATACACATGCAGATGCCACACACACACAAGCATTGATTTCCCATTACAAAATATCACATTGCTTTATCAATACAGCTGGAAGGAGGGGGGGGATGAGGACTTTCCTCTCCCCATTCCAGTCAAAACAATCAGTACCAATTTACAGGCAGGTTTGATCAGAACCTGAACAAATCAAAATGATATTTCCCTTTCCTTCTGAAGCTTTTAAAAAAGGAATTGTTAAATATTCTGTCAGTCATCTACTTTTAATCTATGTAAATATTAACATATTGTTTTATTGTGTCATTAAGGGCATGATTTCCTTAAAAGAGACAGGTAAATAGAAGAATCATAGATGGTACGAGGGACAAAATTAACCACCAGCCAAGGAAGGAACCCCCTGATTATCATCCTGACACTTAGCATTGCTGCTGTTGGACTGTGATGGGAGGGAAGGAGAGAGCCAAGGCGAGTTCCAAGAAAGGAAAATCCACAACCTCTGCCTCCCTTGATTCTACTCTCTGAGTAAAGGAGTGGGTAGGGCTCAGGAACAAAGGAGAAGCATTGGTGATCAGCGGTGGGTTGCACATTTCATTACCACTGCTTCGCTGTGTGCACGCCTGCCCGCTTCACGCATATATGAAGCAGACAAGTGTGCGCCTTCCGCACATGCGCCTGGCCTTCTGCGCATGTGCTTTGCTTGCATGTGCACCTTCCATGCATACGCCTGGCCTGAAAAACATGCCTAAATGGGACAGCATAGAGCCGGTCTGAACCAGCTGAATACCACCTCTGTTGGTGATAGAATAACGTGGAGTGAATTTTAGGATACAACCTCTGCTGAATGGTAAATGTCTTTGCTAAAGTATATTTATGATGTTTAACTTGGTTGACACATTTTTTTGAGATTTGTCAGAACACTGAACTATAAATCAATCAATAACAACAGGCTGGCTTTTCCTGTAACACTAAGCTACATAAAAATTGGTTGCTCAATTTGTGGTGTGAAAACTGCCATAGTGAGATTCTTCTTTAGGAAGGCAGTGTTAAGAAAATCAGCTGTACACACCAGTGGAGCAAAAGACAGTGGCACTTGCTTTTTAAAAAAAATGTGCAATTGGGAGATTCATAACACGAGAATGTCTGTTTTGCCTTGTTATAGTGCTAGTCCATTTACAGCATTTTGACAGAAGCTTTCTATATATTTATTGTACACAGACAAGCCTTAAGGTCAGCAGGTCATACAAAAGAGAGGGTATCATAAAACAATTGTACAGGAAATGTCCTGATAGGCTTCAGTGGTGAGGAAATTGAGACATTGGCAACAATCAAGGGCAGTACAAGACATCCTCTGTACTCATGGCATTTAACAATCCTTGCAATGTTTAAATAGCAAGGATTCAAAGAAAACATTTTTGTAGCCATGTAAAGGTGTGTCCGACGTCTCTTACTCTAATAGATAGTAGTGGAAGGACCCAGGAATGCTAAGAATGTATGAGAAAAACAATAGAAAAGCAGGGAGGGAAATTTAATGGTAAAGGAACAAGAAGGAAGAAAAATATTGAAGTAGGTTTATCCTTTTTAAAAAAAACCTAAGGTAGTCATGGATCAACATAACAATATCAGTACTGCAGCAATGATAGAAAAAGGGGGGGGGATACCATAGTAACATAATAGGTAGCAAGATGACAGAATATATATATCATATAAAAGGTGTGATATATAAGATATAAAAGATACAAAAGTATAAAATTTCCACAACACAAAACCACTATTTAGACAAAACTGCCATTGTTATTTTTTAAAAAGAAATAACCTTAACATGTAGATTTCAATTCCTATCAGCTAAGCCAACAGCAAAGGATTAGGAGAGCTGTAATTCAGAAGGCCCAAAAGATAATGCCTGAACCTTTCTTTTAAAATAAGATGGATGTGAAAATACACAAGACCTGAAACATTCATAAAACATCCCGCTTCTTCCAATATAATAATCTTATAGATACATCAGATGGCTCCAGCCGATGGTGTAAATAACACAATGGAGAAAACCATTGAAATGGAATCCAAGCCATTGCCTTTAGCGTAAAAAACACAAGATCTAACAGCCTGGTGATCAGGTTCAAGATAGTAGCCACATGTAATTGCAAGCTCAACAGGAACCATCTCCTTTACTGTGACTTAGTTATTAGCTTATGGACTGTTCCCTGTTACAAAAATGAACATAGGAAATTCAAGTACTTGATTAGAGGTAATATAAATAGTTTCTGTGAATGAATTGCTGAATATGATCCAGTTATAGCACAAACCTAGAACTGAGGAGGAATTTCCTGACAGTGTGAACAATTAACCAATGGAACGGATTACCTTCTGAAGTTGTGGGTACTCAATCACTGCAGGTTTTTAAGAAGAGATTGGATAGCCATTTGTCCAGAATGGTACAGGATCTCCTGCTTGTGTAGACGACTAAGGTCCCTTCCAACTTTGCTATTCTGTTATTCAATTAAACTTTGCTTAGCTCTCTCATTCCAGAGTAGGGATAGAGAACTATTCTATCCAACATTCCCATTATTGTTCAAATTGAGCTAATTAATGTAGTTCAGCAATATTCTGAATATTTTGCAATACCCAGAGATTATTGAAAATCTCCTGGTTAACTGCCAATTGTAGGTGCTAACAGAAACAGCTTCATTCAGATATTTCTGTAATTAATAAAGCTAGGAGTATGAACTTGATATTCAAGAGGAAGGATAGGGGAAAACATTCAATTCTGATACATAGCACAAAACCCTGCACTGAGAATGAATTCTAAATTAAATATATTTCTTTCTCTAGATTCTGATTGATGGATCTACAATACAAAGTACAGCCTACATCTAGAAATTTTCCTGCCTTTAGATTAGAGTACTGTATGCAAATATCTCCATGCCTCTTTAAAATAGGAGTCCCATTTGCACATTACGGCAGTCAAGGGAATCTAAGCATGCTGTGCAGAACTCTAAACAGTACAAATAACTTGCTTAATTAATCCAAGGGGAGTTAAAATGTAATCACACACGAACAATCTTTTGAGGGCTAACTCCATTTCCAGATTAATTAATCTTCTTGTATTGTGTGAATTACTTCTTGACCATTAGTTAACATTCCTCAGAAGAAGGCGGGGCTTAGCAGTGAGAAGACGGAGTTTCAGGCCATTCCTGAAATTCCCCTATTCCGGAGGAATTGGACGGGTCATTT